AATACTAAATCGAAAGAAACACACATGAGAAATGTGTCTTCTTTTCTTAATCTTAGAATGAGCTATTCGATGAATGACAAACATTGCTTCTGAAGAGTCAGATATTGCGAGGCGCATTCAGCACTGTTAGTGCTCAAACAGCACAGAAACATGGACAACATAGCCCTTACTGGACCACTACCATCTGCTAAACAAATGCTAAGGAAAAGACATGCGTAACAGGACACAGTGAAATCCCAGTTTTGAAAATCTTTTTGAAAAAGGCCCTTGATAATCTACAGGTTAGAAACCAACAATAAATTAACAACGAAATGTAACTTATAGGCCTATACCTTGTGTTGAAAATCATACTGCACAATCAGTTATCCGATAAGTGAAGACAAGCTACAGGCCAGGCGGAAGCGCTAGCTTCAGGCAACACCACCGCTGTTCATCGCGTCCATTCTGGTAAGACCATACCAAGTAGAATGCCATGGTGTCTATACTACTCGCTGGTTGTACCGGAACAATTTCTGGTGAATTCCTAACTCAACGGAATAAACGATTAGGAAAAGCTGTTTCCCTCTGTCGGGAGTCGAAACGGAAATACCGGTAAATAATCCGATCACTGCGCCCCTACTTAACATTCCTAAGTCAAGCTTCCCGGACCAGGCAGTCATCAATACGAATCTGATTACTGCTCAAATAGAATTTTAGAAATAAATGGCTGACGAAATATTAATAGCTATGATGATTTTACGATACAGTATCTGCAGTACAAAACCTGATAGTAAATATTAATGAGGGAAGTGTGAACTATCACCTGTATTCATTTGTAAAATAAACAGTGAGAAAGTTTCAGGATGATCATCAGTAGATAAGCAGCATCTTACATGGATATGCCAGTTGTTTTGTAGAGCAGAAACTCATGATCGGTTGTACCAATCAACCACTATCTGTCAAACCCAACCTCACACCAAGAAGATAACAGAGATGGCGTTTTCACTGAAAATTTCTATTAAACGCACTGCAATCATCTATCAAACTCAAAAGTTTACAGAAAACCATAATGTCAACTTTGTGTGATTCTAATGCCTCCGCTCACGCCCCACAATCAGATTCGTGTCAATCCCCAGAAAAGATAGAACATGTGATAGTAATAGGTTATTTTAGCGGCAACTTGCTAGTAAACGAATTATGTACGTGATTACGAATCAAAGTATATACGCCAGTGTTCGAACATGTATCTGTTCGACCAAACCATGCGAAGCCGTGTTGGGCCAATAAATCGTAGCCGCTACAATACACTCTTGACGTCACCTGCTTAAACAGCAGCCTAGACTACGGTTAATATGGAGAACTGACAGGAGATTGTGATTCTTACCGACTTTACTGAAAACTAACAGTTTGTTAGTAAATCCATAATGCTGGGATTAATTTTTATAATTAGATTTTATGGACATAATCAGTATATGGGTCATAAGAAATTAAGCCAGAGACCATCCATTTTTGCTCAGAGGTTAAATCCAACTTCGTGCATTAACAGTAGAAAAGGAAATATGAAACATTTAAACTTTTCAAACACGAACATTGGCGTTCATCAGCTGTCACGTTCGCATCGAAGTACCTAATATCCAAAGTGTATTTGATGCATTACGGAGGTTTAACAATTCTCCGCATAAACCACATCGAAATATACGTAAATTAAGCAGAAAATAGATAACAACTAAAACAAAAACAAACAAAAAACCATAAATAAGATTCTGAACAAAACTAATCGATGATCAATGGATGACAATGACGCATCGGAAGCGAAGTACGTTTGAGTAAAATAGCGATCACTTCAAGTTGCTGATGTAAGTCCATTTAAGAGTGGACAGAAATTCACCAAAGATAGAAGGCATAAACAAAACTTGCATGCATATGCAAAGAGAACCATCGACAGAAAACGGCAACAATGAGAAAGAAATTCTAGACAACCTGACTGTCACTTTATTAATTAATTAGCTACAATAAAAATGCTCCTTTTCGCAACGTACTTGTTATAATGTATATTTTGCATATTCCGGAAATAGACGCGGTCGTCAAGAACGCTACGGGAATTTTTGTTGCCGTAACGGTAATGAGCAAACTGGGCGCGGTGTGGCTCCGAAACGGGGGCCGTCCTGTCGCTGAAAATACACGAAAGTTTAATGAGGCCAGCCAATACATGAAAGCCTTATGCCGAAGCGAACAACTCACTTCTTCCGCATTCGCTCGCTAACGTAGTGATGAGCGTTCAGAGGAGAGAATGGCGGTGTGTTCAGAAACGCAACGGCTGGTCTGAAGGTGCCTTGCGGCTGAAATCCGTTCATAGCCAGTATCTAAATAAAGTACAGTATGTCACACAAACATGAAAGCCAAATACAAGTGGTATCGGCGGAATTGTCAAAATCGTCGAAACAATTTTGTCGCCTGTCAAGAAAATAGAAAAATATTATTACTGCCCTGCAAGGACCACGGTGCCAATGAAGGCCAGAAAGGAGAGAAGAACGGATGGCGTGTTAGAGTACCAGAAGGCATGATCGGCTAATGTAGGCCGGTCACACTAAGAAGTAAGATACTCAAGAAATGGTCGTAGTTATATTGACAGATAGACTGCACTGCATATGCACTGCGAACTGTACGATGCACTGCACATTAATAACTATATACTACCAGTTCCATGCATGCGGGAACTACAGGGAAACATAGCTAGCATTAGAAAGCTGGTATGCTAGGCAAAAGACCAAATGGGAGACGGAAGAGAAACTCAAAAGCGTACAGACGAAAAACAGAAAAAGGATATTACAGGCACCAGGAGAGAAATACCACATAACAACAGACACAAACATATGAACCAAAACGCTCATTTAGGACAAAACCTTGAAGCCTTCTTGCATGTATTCAACTTCGTGAGTTCCGGTCATCACTTGAGAAGTCATAACAAGAAAGAAAACTTTTAACCGCTGAGATGTCACTCATTCGTACACAGTGATGATTGGATCCATCGACTGTGGCATCCTACTTATACCAACGTAGTTCCTCACCAACGCTGTATAATGAGTCAGGAATTACTGCTGCTTCCTCCACGGCTATATCTCTAAGGCTAGAAGACAAGCACACTTACCTACGAGGCTTCGACCAGTAAAATATAAACCTTAGACATTCATAAATTTAATAAAAGTTGTCAGATGCTCACTGAAAATTCTTTATAATGTAACACGAGCGGGTAAATCAACTAGTGAAAAACATTCAGATCAAAAATGAATCCAAAATTCCTTTGTGGCCTGAAGACTGCAACAAACAACCTATTCCGCTACCATAGCGAGAAGAACATTGTTTTCTCTCCCAAAAAGTGATACTCACTTATCTAGTTGAAAAATGTTGAATTAGGGTTGCAAAATGTGATGCCACGCTTATTAGTATGACGTGCGATCGACAGAGTTCGTGCAGACCGCCGGTCGTTTCTTGGCCAAAGTTAACATTGATGGACTGAACAAAAATAAAGAAAACGGTATAAATAGTAAAACTATCTTTCATCATCTTTATGGATCAAAGTTGGATTAATCTTGAACGGCTAGATAAAAGCTATTCTATAGAAGATCGCCAACGTCGCGTGTTTTAAGTCTAAAAATAAGCCATCACTCTTACATGGCCATTGCGCTTATGGTCGAAACTCTGACAATAAAGTTAGCAGTAAATATCTTGCCGACTCCCTCACATGGATGTGTCTATAATCGTCTAGCTTTGCAGACCGGACAATAAAAACTGAAAACTTCTGTATTCATTATAGCAGTTGTGCTGATTCAAGGTTGAAAGCTCCAGACAAAAGCGATGGCCAAAATTATACTGCCACGCGTATCGCCACAACAGCGATAGATTCATCTGGGCACATCGTAACGTCAGCAGAACAATATACTACTTAATCGATGAAGTACCTCCAGCAAAAAACTGAAAATTTAAAATCTTATTTGCATTCATTACTTTAAACTACGTAAGAACAAAAAGCAGAAAAAATGAATACAGCACAAAATCGCGTACTTGGCCAAGATCAAACGGAGACCAGGTAGCATTCAGAATGTTACTTGGTGGCGCAGCGGCCACAAACCCTGAGGGAGGAGCAGAAGGCGACGATAGCACAGCGGCGGCCGCTACCGAAGACTGGCTACACCCATTATTCGGGTAATAGAGCACTTTGGGCGCGGTGAGCGGTATAACCTCGCCGGGAAGTTCGGACATGGATACCGATTGCTGCACAGCCTGCTGGCCGGTCAACTGTGCCGGGGAGTAAACGAAGGCTTCGCTGGTGGGGAACACATGCGTGGCGGCGGCGGCGACGGCAGCGGCTGAATGTGCGCATGAAACGGTCAGTGAGTGAGTCGGCGGCGGCGGTCGAGCAGTGAAACCATTTGTCATACGCGGAATGGGGGCAGTTTTAAATCGGGCCTGAAACACCAACGAACGAACTGTCAAGAAACAGCTGTGTACCAATTCATATACATGCCACAAATGATGCCTAGATTTAAAATAACTACAGTAACCATAAAACCGTTTTTTATAAAAAAAAATTTGTCGTTCAGAAAAACTCGACATGATGATGGAAATGATTAAACGGTGGAAATGATGGAAATGGTCCTATGATGGAAATGTTGCTGTAAGACGGCCAGAACGCGTTTCAAGGAAAAACCGAACGCGGCGCGATTCTTTTAGGCAGATTCCTTGAGGGTAGTTAAGGATAAATCAGTTTTTAAGTACCATCTCCATTCATTCACCATTCACAACCAGAGCATCGTGCAACTGAAATCTTGTTATATGTTGAAACAAATTATAACAAATCAGATGACACATATTAGCAAGAGGATGCAGACTCACCGTTCAAGGGTCACTGAAGCTAGATCAGCAGCTGAGCTAATAGTATCAGTGTCTCAAAGATCTTTCAAGATGGTAAATGAATTCTCTAATGAACAAAGACATAAAAGCATCTAGCATCGTAGGTGCTAAAATAACTGCAGTAATCGGAAACTTCGTCTGCCTAAATGACACTACTAGGCATAAGGGAATGATGTGATACGGCGTGAAATCCGGCCTAAGAACAATTATGCGTCTCCCTACATGTTAGAATGCAAGAACAAATTCTGCATATTAACAGCATTTGCCCGGACTATAAAGCCACAGCTGCGATGGTTTGGGCACATGCTGCAAAAGCTTACAGAAATGAAGGTGGAGGAGTTACAAGTTGCCAAACCGACAGGCGTACGATTTTGGCGACGACAAAGAGAAAACTCGGGCACGTGCCACGACAAACTCTGCTCTAGACTGGGGTTATTTTAAGCCGAAGCTCTGACACCGGTACAACACCACGTATGTTTCAGACACTGCGGTTTCTCGCTGCCGCTTCCGCGATCCAACAGCATAAGCGGCCATCGAATCTGACTGACTGGCAAACCCTAGCCTTGGAACTTTATATACTGAAACAGAATAACGGCATATGGAGATTAGCATACAATACATTCGCAAAAGATAAATTTTTACATATTCTACGCAGGCATCGGTGCTTTATAGTTAAAATGCTCAAACAATTGCGAACGGATGAGGCGATCGAAATTGACAGATTGATCGACACTCATGAAATCTAGTTTTTGATGCACAGGAGATTGGTTTAGCGGACAAACTGAAGCAAAAATCATTTCGTGTTTAGACAATCAAACAATACAACGCTGGGACTCGCTTAAATGCTCCCTAAACAGATATGTGTCAATTTTACCAGTGAAACGCGATTCAAGATGACGTCTACAGTCTAGTAAGATTCTCACGTTACGATCCCATGTCATGTTGAGAAAAAACATAAGCCCATGTGCTTCTGAAAAATCATAGATGAAGAAAAAAGCAGTGCTGTGACTTCTTAAATGATGAGAGACGCTTACGTCACACGTTGTTAAATCAGCTTTTGGGAAAGGCAGTAGCATATTAGCACGATCCGGTGCACGAGCTCATATTTTGTAGGCACGTGAACTAAGACCATAAGAAGTTAATATTTTTTAATACATTCTATACTATAAAGTTTGTACAGTAGCATAATACGTAACTACATGTATTAAGTAGTAGAAAATACACCGTACCATCAACTTTTCCGGTTCTATGGCCACAGCGACATGAAGAAGTAAATAAATCTTGCTTCACCTACGTGGCTGACGTTTAGAATGATAGCAAAGTGATCGGCATCAGATCAGATTACTGTACTTTGATGGCGATAAATGAGCCGTCGTTCGAAACGTAAGCAACAGATTTATATAGTTGTCCGTGTTGCTCTGACAGTGTCAGTGAAAATACATGATCATACTAAATGTCGTACAGAATGAACAATACGTACTGGGTTATTGTATAAACAGAGGGCATACTAGTGTAGAAACCACACTGTATAAACTATAAATGGTTAATACGTACTTTATACCCCATAACATAAAATTTGTTCAGCGTGTCCAATTAGTAGCTATCCGGCGCGTCAAAGGATGCGGATAGAACCTCTAGATATGGAGGCCAGCCACGATAAATAACTAATTGAGAACAGGTAGCTGTGAGACTGCCAAGGAGCGGCTAGATTCAATTTCGACAAATTCTATCCTTAGAGATAAACTCAAAATGCCCAATAATGGCAGTCTCATCCCTAGGCGAAAGTGACATCTTGAGAATAAAGATCGTCAAGGTCACCGCTGTCATGCGGTTAGACGTCGGTTCCTCGAAGCAAAGAGGACAAATTTGATGAAAAACCGGACGTCTGTAAGAAATTCACTAAGTCACCGCCAGCCTTGCCAGCAGGTAGCAAACTTTCATGCACTATGACGACAAATCGTGGCGTCCGGTATGGTTAAGTCACCGAATAACGGCCGGTCAAGGCGACTTCACAGTTTGTATAATACTATACTATATAATTTATATAACACTACGCATTGTTCACTGTGCTTACGTACAATATAATCTTATTTTTTGATAACGTGGTTAGAGTGCCACGAAGAATTACAGAGATCTAATACTAAATAGACCAATGTCTCGACTCGCGACTCGATCGACCGCACATCGATCATCGTCATCTCGGTTACCATGAAAATGACCCTGCTCCCTGGATGGCGTCGAAAAACTGAAAGACACGTCAAGACCTGAAATAACAGTGCCCCAGACTAAGTCGTCAATTCATCTCTGAATC